AGAACACTTCATCTGGAAGTGCAATGGAGATGCGAAAGGTTTGCGAAAACCTGGTAAAACTTTGTCTATGTGGAGAAGGCATACTACTGCCAAACCAAAGGCCCCATTACCTCGGTGTTTATGTCGGCAGATGGTATGATGGTAAGATTTGGTTTGCTATCTATCCACCCAATCAAGCTGAACTAACTTGAGCATGCAGTTGTGGGAAATTTTCACGTTTAGGAAGACTGCCGCCAACTCGATGCCTCCGACACTTCGGGTGAGCTGGCATTGCTCGGCCTGGCTGCCAGAGAGCAGCCCCATTCCAGCCTCAACGTCGACAAGGCCAGCCCAGCAACGAGCGTGGCCGGAGCCGACAGCCGCCGGGCTTCAACAGCCCCAGCTAGCCTGCACGAGTTCGAGTCGGCTTTGAGCCAGCTCGTGCAGCGTCGCTTTCCTTCCCTGCGCTCGGTTCTGATCTCGCCCAGCTTCGTCGTCTACACCTGCCTGACTCTGGCTGGAATGCTTCGGCTGGCCCTCCTATTGGTACAGCTCGGACCGATGCTGCACTACCATTTCTCGGGTCGGCTCGACTCGGACGCCACGATCGAGCGTCTCTCAGGACTCGCCTCGCTCTGCTTCCTCACCAGTCTCGTCTTCTCACCCGCTTGTGGCTGCCTCGTCGACCGCCTCCGAAAGGCCTGGCTGCCGCCTCTTCTGCCCCTCTCCTTTGCCGTCTCCTCGCCCCAGCTTCACCTTCGCTCTCTCGCCGCCTCCACAGACCCACGACCGACCCAGCTCGCCTCCGCGGTCTACTGGCTCAGTCTGACGCCTCTGCTTCCTCCGGCCATCGCCTCCGCCCTCTTGGCCACTCTGGTCAGTGCGCTCTGCTTCTTTCCCAGCCTGCCCGGATTCTACGCCCTCCTTCTCAGTCTGGCTGCAATGCGCAGCTGTTTATATACATTCTCGCTGGCCTATCTTATCTCTGCGTTCCCCTTGGAGATGTACGGTCGCGTTTATGCCGCCTTCAGCTTCATCTACGGCCTCGTCGCTTTGCTACAGTACTCCGTGCTTCGTCTCTCTGTCCCAACCGCCAACATCATCTGCCTCTTTCTGGCCGTCAGCATGTTTGCGCCGCCCTTCTACATGGGCGTGCAAAGTTGGCGCTCTTGGGGCCAACTGGTAGCCTGGCAACGGACGCTCGGGAATTCCGGCTAAGTTGGCCGCTTTTCAGGGGTTTTCGGGTCTCGTGGTGCTGTATGGCCTGGCGCCTAGGCGGGCGGAGAACGAAATCGGTCCAGCAATTGAGAGCCTTTCAAAGTCTCGTCTCATGAAGCTGGACGTGGATGGCCGAATAGAAGGCCTGAAGGGGCGTGGTGTCACGGACAGGCATTTTCGAGCATTTTAGGTATCACATTTTGCATAAACTACTCTACTTCTCTTCTATACATCACATTCCCACCGTGTTACTGGACTCCATGCCAGAATGTTTTCTTTTTCTGAACACAGACGAGAGTTCAGCATAAATTGATCTATGAGAGTGGAGAATGTCTTGAAGAATGCGGCCATCCCATCGAGATCTCATACGAATTAATCGTTTCTTTACTCTTGCCTCTGTTGAATTTGACACACTAATCCCTTCTTTTCACACACACATACGGTTAAAATGAAAATGACCCTTAAATGAGCGTAGTGAAGGAATAAAAGCCAATTTTTCTATCTAAACCACTGATATTGGTTTCGTATTCTAAAGCCTACTGGGACATATGGAGCCTACGAGTAACACCCAGTCTTTATCGAATTACTGAATGCAACATAATAGTTTCATTCGGGTTCCATTCATTTTTGCGGCAAAGTTCGGAAAAATAAGCACTCTTCTTGTCGACGGTTTACATGTTTTGTGCATTAATACACTCAAATACTGCCATTAAAATGATCTTCTTTTATTAAATCATGCAAAATATGTAGTTATTTCTTGGATTATCATCAGTTAATCTTTGGGCCTCAATTTTATCGAAACACCAGAGCCCCTTTTTACACCTATGAAATCATTAAGGAAATAATAGGGTAATACTATTTCCCACTCTGCAGACATTGGAAAGATATTCGCCTACACGAATAAGTA